ATGATGGTGTAGGAAAGTTCAAGTAACCTCTTAGTTTGGTCTGGATGTCTAGCTAAAGGTCAGCATGCAGCTCTTCATCCGACACCCTCCAACTGAGCAGTTGGCCTCCAAATGACAGTATATACTCTATTTGCCGTAGATTACTCTGTTGAGATAAAAGACACTAATATCACCAGTGCATTCTCCCTGAATTGGTGGCTCTGTTCCTCTAATGTGGAAAATTTGTAATTGTGGTTAAATATCATTTTAGTGATAAATACAACAATCACAATTAGCCACAGGTGTCCTTACTTGAACACAACCCAAATCTGATGTCAGAGAAGATATTGGCACAGCACGTATGCACACACAGGGACAAGCATATACCTAAAACTTTAACATTGCATTCACTCAGCTTTATAGAGTAGGTCCCATGTCATACAGAATCATATAATCATGCCCTCAGGGTGGAGGCAAAACAATGTGTGCAACCCTCGGTCCAGACTATTTACCATGGGAGTCAGGAATATCTAATCGGTCTTCATCCAGAACCTCCTCACCTAAAGCATGCCAGTTCTAAAGAGGAATGTCACCCATTTCCAAAATTTATACATGTTATTACTATAGTCTAAAACAGTCCAAAAATATTAGTACAGGCTACATGAACAACTCTCTCTCAAAGCCAGAAACTAAAGAAGTCAGTCTCAAACTTGTGATATCATTGGGTATAAAATCTGAAGCTGCTTCACAGACAATGAATAATAAGAACCAGACAATTTCAAGCTGGGTTAAAGGAGTCAGGGTATGTTGTGTATGTGAGATGTGTTGTGGAATATGACTTTTTTGCAAGATTGTGCTTTTGAGTTTTAGTTGGTGTATTGTCAGTAATTTGCTTAAAGGGATGGTTTGAATGTTCTGAATTTAGGTTGTATGAGGTATACAAAGTCAGTATATTTCTTAGAGTAAATATCTGTCGGCATGCCCCCAATTAGCAAGAGTACTGACACGGAAGCTAAGCAATGTCCTGCTGTGGAGGGGTCAGAAACAAAATGGATTTTAGCCACCTAAAAAAAGTCCCACCAAAAAAAAAAAAAAAAAAAAAAAAAAAATCCATTTAAGTGTACGTTATACTGTGAACATTTTCACTCCTTTACCTTTCCATCAGACAGCCCTTTCAGACAGGGAAGCTGGTGATTGCTTTAGATACCAAGCTATGCTCTTGTCAAAGCCTCCAGACTTCATAGAGAAAAACAGTAATTTTACCTTGTTGAACACAAGAGCTGCTGGTTTCTGCTGCATCAGTCAGTTAGTTTGTTTATTATATTTTGTGACTTTGGTGAATCTTAACCTTTAAACTCTAAACTCACACAATAACACAAACTAACTAGTTTAACTGATGGAGGCAGCAGTTGAACAGCAGCTCCTGTGTGTTAAATTACTGTTTTACTTAAAGGAGAAGTCCGGTGCACTTTGAGGCCCATTTCTGGGTTGTTTATGATGAAATAGAGTGGCTAAGACCAAAATAGTGATGATTTCTTATTTTCTGAGAATTTGGCTTTCCCCTGCCTGGCTTAACAATGCTGTCTATGGCCATGTGTGAATCTGTCCTGAAACCACCCTAAATGTTTGTTTTCAAAGCCATGAAACTCACCGAGTGGTCAGTGGTGTTCGCTGATGTTCTGACACAAAAATCGTAGCAATCTGTGGTTTCCATCCGTGTTTTCGCTATTCATCTCGATTGTGGAACTATTTTTTCAGCTGCCTCACACCCGTGTGTAAACTTCTGCTTGATCATTCGTTTGACCCTGAAGCGCTATACTCTAGAAAGATATATATTGAAAACCAATGGATTAGACAAAATGTCAAATAAATCATCATGGAAACCACAGTTTAGTACGATTTTTATGTCAGAACATCAACGAACACCACTGACCACTTGGTGAGTTTCATTGCTTTGAAAATGAATGTTTAGGGTGGTTTTTGGACTGATTCACACATGGCCATAGACAGCATTGTTAAGCCAGGCAGGGGAAAGCCAAATTCTCCGAAAAGGAGCAGTCGTAAAAAATTTTGGTCTTAACCACTCTATTTCATCATAAACAACCCAGAAATGGAGCTCAAAGTGCAAAATACCAGACTTCTCCTTTAATAGAGTCTGGCTTTTGAAAAAAAAAAAAAAAGTAATATAATGGCTTCAGGTCCCCATTAACAATTGCTGTGTGGCAGTAAGGTAAAGCAGGGAAAATATATAGGCCCCCCTCCATAGCAGTACATAGCTTAGTTTCTGTGTTGGTACTCCTGCTGCTTCCTCAAACTGTGGGCCGACAGACTCTATACACTGACTGTGTTTAAGTAGCTCATATGACCTAACTTCAAAAGATCTAAACTATCCCTTTGAGTGAATTATTGACAATTCACCTCCTAAAACTCTCTCACTCTTGCAAAAAATAAAAAAGTATTATTTGTCAAAACATCTCACATACACAACATACCATGACTTCTCCCAGCTTGGATTTGTTTGGCTCTTAGTTATACCACACTCTACTTCACACCATTGCATGTCATGTTGTACCGGGTACATTTTCATCTACCTGCGCAATGAAGACCTTGATGTTATAGATGACATTCAATTAGTAGAAGGGAAACCAGGTCAGATCCCCCTGTGAAGACGCCACCTGGCTCCCTGTTTAATAGTCACACTCATATAGTCATACATGGACACACACACACAGGTGGGAAAGACTTACAGTGTGTTGTTTGATTAACCTCGTGTGGAGGTGAGCTTTTGAAATAGTTCCTCAAGAAGATTCATAGTTTACAATCACGAAGTACATTGGCCCTGAGGGTTAAACACAACATTTCAGAAAACACATTTCACAAAATATTTCACAAAATGCAACATTTTAGAGACCATTACAATATTTCAATTTAGCTGTGTTTTGTAAAATGTTATGTTTTTTGATGTTGTGTTAACTGAAATATCAGTGATTAGTGAAATGCTGTTGTGTTTTGTAAAACCGTTAAAAACGACATCATGGTTTGGCTTTACATTTATATGGTGGGCAAGCACCAGCCTCCCAGGTGGTAGTCCGGGGTTTGTTGGACCCATCCACTTCACTTTCCACCCACCCTGTAGGATTTTTTCAGCTCCTTATTACATCATTACTGGCCATGTTTCAAACTGATGCATAGAGTGCCGAAGTCACGCCCTTCCGGTGAAGCTCATGGGACCTTAGATCGGAAAAAATATGAATGGCAGTGAATGAGGAGAGAAATATTATCTTTTGGTCCCGTTTGAGTTGTGACATTAAATCCAAATATGTCGTTAATGAATTTAAAACATTAATTTTAAGGTCAAGAAAGTCATACTTTGTGGTAAAACTACTGAGATGTAAGCTTTTGAAAAAATGTAATTAGAAAGACTACACAGGAGGCGGTCGCGTATGTGACATCATAGCTTTCGCTCGCTTCCAGCAGCTTGGAGTGATGTCAGCCTGGCACAAAACACACAGACATCTTCAATCATAAATCGATTAATCATAAAACAGTGGAATTTCAGCGGGGAGGCCAAGCTGCAGGAAGCGAGCAAAAGCTATGATGTCACATATGCGACCTCCTCCTGTGTACTCTTGAGTCTTGCTAATTAAAAAGCTTATATCTCAACAGTTTTACGACAAAGTATGACTTTCTTGACCTTAAAATGTATGTTTTAAATTCATTAACAACATATTTAGATTTCATGTCGCAACTCAAACAGGAACAAAAGATAATATTTCTCTCCCCATTCACTGCCATTCATATTTTTTCCGATCTAAGGTCCCATGAGCTCTACCAGAAGGGGCGTGACTTTGGCACTCTATAGGCATATCATGCCACTGCAACAAGCACCGCCTGTCTGCATATGGTACTGCCACGACAGGTGCCATGTGGCCAACTGGTCGCTTGACATAACACCACCAAAAGTTCTGTGCGCCCACGTTATAAACTTACACTGCCCAGTGGCACGTCGTACTGCTGTGAAGGGTGGCTTTTGGTGATGGTGTCTGCAGTGGTGTTAGTGGTAGTTGATGAGATGGGTGTACTGCTAGGTAGATAGGTAGGTTACCGATGAGGAAGTAGGCATACTCTCCTATATATTACAATGGCTTTTTAGCTGATAGATGGGTATACTGTAACTGGATAGAAAAAGAAGTGGGTATACCATATACCCGACTATACCCTCCACTACACCACTGGGTGTCTGATGCCACAAAAACTGACAAAGGGGTGACGACTTCGTAATGAGAACGGGCTACTTTATTGTAATGCTGTTGTGTTGTCTTAAAACGTGTTTTGATCCTCAGGGCCACTGTAATAATTCTTTATTTTTACCATAAAATTAATTAACATGTAGACTTTTACTAACATTCCAATAAGCTAAACTATAAAAGCCTACATATGCCTATTGTATTTCACTAACAACATCAGGAAGTGGGTTGATGTTTTGCACATGGTAAATAAATGACCTTGTATTAATTGCACTGTCTGGACCTTTAGTAATAATCTGTTTCTTGTATTTGTGAACAGAAATTGAATCTTATTTCCTTATTTAACAAAAGCGACCTGGAACCTGGAACACACCACCTGAGACACTGTAGCTGTGTGATTGGCTTGTGCTCTTTGAGTTTGGAACATGATTGGTTGAACAGGCCAATGCCTGACCGAACGTGGCTCCTCCACAGCCGCGCACGTAAAGACACCCGGCGCACTGACAACTGCGTCAAGTCAGAAGGGACGAGGCAGAGAGAGAGGAGAGTGATTGACTGCGCCTTCAACATTAAGGCAGAGCTCGTCTGGTATGGAGTAGATGGGACCGGAAAGGAGGTTGCACATTTTAAGAATACTATTTCAGCTTCTTGTAAATTACCTCCTACATGTAAAGCGTTATCTCAATTCCAGTGTATTACTCAAACATTGCATATTTTTGTTTAATAAAGATTTTACGCTGAAATTTACGACCGGAAACTGAATGTGAGTGTATGAATGAAGCCTGTCAGTGTTGATGATCGATCAGTAACTTGTGAGATTCTAAGCATGAACAGAAAAAGTAGTTGATGACAGCTCATCACTGCAGTCATAACACTACTGTCCTCAGAGTCGGAGCGACCCCACGTCCTCTGCCAGCTGACTGCAGCTTGCTGTCTCCGCCAGGTAAGACAAGCTGCCTGCTAGCTGAGCAGCTATCCCTTAGCGCCACCAAACCCCGCTGTGAAATATATGAATTTAAAACGGTCTTGCGTACTGGCCAACGATCATTAAGGCAAAACGTTATTAAACATGTTTTACGATTTAGACTTGTGTCGGTTTACAATTCGGCATGAAACCAATACATCAAGAATTATGGTTAGAATAGAGTTTAACCTATTTCATATTTGGTTCACCTGTTATTCCCATTTGACCAAAGTACACAAAAATGTAACTTTGTCACATTTTACAGTTATTTAACACTGCACGCAAGTTATTTAATACAATGGATACAATGTTAGATAACTGTAAATTGTGACAAATAGTGGAAATAGTATGACCCTCACTCCCACACGTGTCTAAGGTGATTTCTTCAACAGAAACAGAGAGGCACGTCTGCCCGCAGGTACAGCGGCACAACGCTGCCAGGTATCTGGTTTACACCTGTTCGCTGATGTTACTTCTGGCTGACGCGTGGGTGCCGTTTGTAAAGTGTCTCAAACTGAAATTAACAGCAACATTTTGCCACTTTCAGCTTCAAACAACGTTTAAAAAAGTGGTGTGAATTTTTTAAAGTCACTTTTTTACCACATTTAGCGCAATATTTAAAATATGTTAAATAGGCTATAATGTCACAGTTAAATCTAAATATTAAATGTCAAACCTAAATGTTAAATCTAAATCAAAATGTTAAATGTAAAATCTAAATCTAAATGTTATATCTCAGTTTAATCTAAATGTTAAATCTAAATCTAAATGTTAAATGTTAAATCTAAATGTTTAATCAAAATGTTAAATGTTAAATCTAAATGTTTAATCAAAATGTTAAATGTAAAATCTAAATCTAAATGTTAAATCTCAGTTTAATCTAAATGTTAAATCTAAATCTAAATGTTAAATGTTAAATCTAAATGTTTAATCAAAATGTTAAATCTAAATGTTTAATCAAAATGTTAAATGTAAAATCTAAATGTTAAATCTAAATCTAGATGTTAAATGTTAAATCTAAATGTGCTTGGTGAAACTAAATATTTAGCTAATATGCAAATGAACACTGCCGGTCACCAAAGTACCAAAATAAGCCCGGGTGGTCAGACTGTGTTTATAGCATCAAATAACGATTTAAAACCAAACTAATTAGAGAAAATGAACACTTGAAGATACATCAGCGTGATAAGAACTACCTAAAAATGACAGAAACCATGTTTGGGGAAATTTTATTTGACGTGTAGGCCTACTTTGAGTTTTTAGTGTCCCATCCTTGCTTGCCAACATGCCAACAATAATGTTAGCCCAGTAGAGATTTGCTACTAGCATCAATGTACTTCACGCATTATTGACCATTGGACATTGTTATGATATCCAATGGTAAAAAACTGTTAGCTAGTTTCATATAGCTTACATGCTAACATAAGGAACATATGCTACGCGAGTTAGAAAACAAACTTACCGAGTGCTGTGGTGGCTCTATGGTCGATACTCACACTGCTGAAATTCTGAATTGCGGCCAAAACGGCCCTTCCAGTGTTTTCAGCTAAATCGGATAAGGATGAGACACTAAAAACTCAAAGTACATGTCAAATAAAATTTCTCCAAACATGGTTTCTGTCATTTTAGGTAGCCTAGGTCTTATCACGCTGATATGTTCAAGTGTTCATTTTCTCTGATTAGTTTGGTTTTAATTTGTTATTATATACTATAAACACAGTCTAACCACCCAGGTTTTTTATTTTGGTTCTTCCGGTGACCGGCAGTGTGCATTTGCATATTAGCTAAATATTTAGTTTCACCAACATTTAGATAACATTTAGATTTAACATTTAACATTTATATTTATATTTAACATTTATATTTAACATTTAACATTTAGATTTAGATTTAACATTTAATATTTAGATTTAACTGTTACATTATATTTAACATATTTAAAATATTGCTGTAAATGTGGTAAAAAGTGACCTTAAAAAATTCACACCACTTTTTAAACGTTGTTTGAAGCTAAATGTTGCAAAATGTTGCTGTTAATTTTAGCACCCCATATGTGTGCTGCTGATTTGTATGCACTGTACTCAGAGTTGCCTTTGCAATGAAGAAAGTAACCTAAAGGTAAATGGAGAGTCTGAAGATGTGTGTGATGGTGTCTCCTATCCGAGTGCATGTAGCAATGCAGGCCACTCCATGAGGGATACTCGTAAAAAATTTACATGTAAGCTCTCATGTAGAAATTTAGCCTGAATAATACTTGTCAGAATTTTATAGCATGTAATTTTACAGCTAATAAAATCATAAGCATTTTGAGGAACAATTTAGGTCAAGTCTACACAAGAATGAGTGTAAGACATGGGATGGGCAGGGGCCTGGCACCAAAGTCTGGGCCATATGCATATGCAGTCTCTGTGGGCCCCTGCCCTTCTATTCTTGATTCATGCCTCTCTCACACACCTTTTTAAAGTCAGTACTTCATTTTCTTTCTTTTATTCCTCTCTTTTCTTCCTTTCTTTTGTTTTTTTTTGGAACCCAGATTTCCCTTTCTTGGGGACGGACATGTCACACTCTTGTGACACAAGAGAGATAGAGTTGCATTAACTCAAACTACAGTAACATTGAGAGCAGCCTAAAGGGACATGTATAAACATACTTTTATATGGTGCATATAAGCTATTGAAATAATTATTGGCAGATTCATATATCTGTACGTCATAGATTAATTTGGAAATGATTCATGGGTAACAGTTAGCTATCATCAGCGTTGTGTCCTGTCAATTAACGGTTTGGGGTTGTTTTACAGATAGGCTGATTTATCTGTGCTAATACTATGGATTTATGTTAACATGTATTTTCAGACATTAAAATTTTTGAAAAAAAAAAAAAAAAATCAAAAAATGATGAATCAATAATTTGGCAGTCCCCCTGCAGTAACTCTGGGGACCCCTAGGGGCCACAGACCCCCTGTTGAAGACTGATTCTCAAACAGGTATTTGACTATTATTTTGATTGGACCTCTTTCTCAGGACTGTGTGGGTGAGGAATCCCACAAATTTCTTTTAGCATGTTTTGCCTCCATGGCAAGCTGCCATCCCCATGTTTGTTTGGGTTTAGCACCAGTGTGTCATTCCATGCTGCATTTCTATTGGTTGGTTAGTAGATGTAGGTCATAACGGCAGTTACACTGTAAGATGGTCATCCCAGATTTCTGACACTGTCACTTTTTTCCCAGGCTGTCTTTGACGGCAAGCCTGTGACAACGGCCATCCTTGAAGCTCTTTCACTGTGTGACATAGGACCCCTGTTTTAGAATCATGACCAAAGATCGCTTTATACCACAAGCATCGCTTGTGGTATAAATGAGACCTAAGTGAGACCTAAGTGAATTGATTCAAGCTGCAAATTTCTCAACACGTTAATCTTTAGCTTCCACTTGGTTGGTGATGAGATGCTTCTTAGTGAAATGCACCTTGAGAGTTGTAGTTCACTTCTCTCATCAGGTTTTATGTCGACAGACATGGACCTTTGACTCTTTATCAAAGAACAAGAAATTTTCTGACACAGTTGTTGGTCTTTTTTACTGATGATTCAACCAGAGGCCTGTACTACAAAGTAGGGCTTCCCCAATTTGGAAAAAATCATAATCACGATTATTTTGGTCAAAATTGAAATCATGATTATGCAAACGATTATGTGGCGCACGTGATGACTTATTTACACGACGGCATGTCATTTCTGTCTCCACATGGTCGCGCATTTACAATTCTCCTCTGCTCTCTGTATCGCACACGGCGGAGTTCGGCCCTGATGTGCGCGCGCGCACACACACACACACACACACACACACACACACACACACACACACACACACACACAACCCTGAAGTTAACCTGCTCCGGAGCAGGTTGGCTGTTCAGCATAAGTTACCACAGTGATGTATCCCAGGTAAAAAGAATACCAGCTTCGTAGTACTGAAAACCCAGAGTTAACCCTGAAGTTTCCTCACTAACTCCAAATCCTGTTTCATAGTATAGGCCTCAGGAGAGCTGCTCCAACTTTAAGTCACATGACATTGTGGGGAAAAAAAATAATCCGACCAGGAGCGCCAAAAATAGCTCATCCCAGTGCCCACTTCTGTTAATGAATGAATGAAACAAACAGAAAAGGTATGACTACTCTTTTAAGTATGTCCTCTAGACGATACTTCAAAACACTTGTGGATGAGAACGCAGACTGATTCCCAGTTTACTGGTTGTTTGGAAATGTTGGAAACATAAAAGAATCATGTTGATGTCATCATGATACAAATCCCTTGGAAATAGATAAATGCTAATGAATTACTCACCAGAATGCCAATTATTTAACTCATTAACATCCATTAACACTTACAGACATTATAATGGGATGTATTACACTTTAGTTTCATGAGAATGTGCTACTGTCTTATCAGACTGTTAGTATAACTGTGTCTGTCTGTCTGTCTGTCTGTCTGTCCTGTTAGGTTATCAATATGGCCTCATGGATTATTCAGATGACTGTAATGGTGCTATCTGTCTTCATCAGCGGTGGCCAGGGGAAGAGGGACAAGGTGCTCTACTGCTCTGGTGAGTCACCAGTGTTCTAACTGAATCATTTGATCGGATGAAATATTGTAAATTGCAATTCCGTCTGTTGGAGGGGAAACAAAACTATCATGTCTGACCATGTGATGGTATGTACAAATGATACATGCTTGTTACTGCACCTTAGCATAGATAAAGGAAACAAAAACTTTCCAAAAGGATGAAAAGTAACAAGGCTGAAACCAAGTATGTGGCTGGACCGTGCATGTGTTGAGTGTGCTAAATTGTGGCCACACTGTTACCCAGATAGTCAGTGTCATCTATAATATGAATTCTTGGATATAAATCGTACATCTTTAGTCCATCATTCACCCAGTAATATTTGTTCTTAAAGTGAGCTGAAGCAGTTTAAGTCAAATAACTGTGCACTGTTTGTGCCTCACTGTAAAAACCTCCTGAAGACGAAACTGAAGACTGTTCGAGCAGCATTTCCTGTGGAAGTTCTTTGGCAGCTTATCTCTGACCTTTTTTCTGTCCTTGCTTCTGAATGAGGCTTTGCGGGTAGTTTAATAAACCCATTGCACAATAACAACAACCACATATCTCTTGAGGAAGTGAATCAAATGATTATTGATCGTGGGATGTGTTTTTTTTTCTTTGCTGTGCAAGTCAAATGATATCAGTGCAAACACCAACCCGGTCTCATGCTGAAGTTGTCAAATACCGGTGCTTTGGCAGTGACTTCTGGCGTCAGACATTGATGAAAAAAGCCGCTCTTTCACGTTGGCATGATTGCAGTGGGTCGCGAGCAGCGGTGCCAGGGGGAACGTGATGGGACAACAACATAAGTTAAGGGGAAGAAAGTCTGTATAGGGCGGGCAAGGGTAGGTGGATGTGTCCAACAAGCACCGACTTTAACCTGGGAAGATGGTTTTCACTTCCAGTTTGTTTGTAAAGTCCAACCCTGTTATTTTTTTCATAACCCAATCACGTGAGTGTGTTGGCTAAATGTAACCAAGTGCGTTTGTTGTTGAAGGAAAAAAACATCAGTTTGTGGGGTTGTGCTGACTTAGTGGATTTATTTTTAAAGAGACTGTATGTAATCTGTACATCTCCTGTGAAAACAGAAGTGTATTTTGAAAATAGACAATACATGTAACAGTCTGACATGGCGTCCCAGAACGTCAACAACCAGCGCACCCAGGGTACCTTGCACGTCATATGTCAACATTGAAAGTCCATGACCAAAGTTCAGTTTTTGATGAGGTCAGAGTGAGAATTTGTTGGAAACACTGTTACTCATTTTGAAAGAGCAATAGCCAGTGGGGAAGCTCCAACACTCTGATGACTGATGGTGCAACGTTATTACTCACTTTATCTGGGAAAGACTCTGGCCCTGCTTTGCTGCAGTCCAGCCAAATACTGGGGCACACTTGTTGTTCTTTACATTTTTATGAAGTGTTTGCCATTGTGCACATTAAAAGAAGATATGCATTTATCTGCAAAAATCATACCATGTCTCTGATGTTTGAGGAAAAAAAAATAAATACTGTGATCTTGGGATGGGGAGCACTGCCAGATAGATTTAAGTAGTGCAAGTGACGTAAGTGGACAAATAATCGCACAGATACTAAAAGTTCAAGATGAAGTTTAAACATCTTTTTTTTTTAATTCACAATTTTAAGGTCATACTTAAAACAGCTGTAATGAAATGTCTGTAATATGCACAGTGTACATGTCTGGACAAAATGAAACCAGGGGGTTGCTCTTAAGCTCTAGTAGATGTATACAATTTACTGTGTAACTTATTTGTATTCAGTAGTACCTGACCAATACATCAACCAATATTCACTTGTCACAGGTGTATTGGATCAGTGTACAGTATGTGTTGGCCGATGTGGTGCTGCAAATAGTGGTGTAACATTACAAAAAAACAATGTCTTCATTCAATAGTCAACTCAATTCAATGTCCACCAGAGAGCACTGACAAGTTGACTTTTATACTGTAAAACGTTTATGCTGTAGACTGAATAATGGCTTATATATTGTAGGGCTGAGCAATATATCAGTATTTATTGATGACATCATGATATGAGACTAGTTATTGTCTTAGGTTTTGGATATCATAATATCTCAAGTGTTGTCTTTTCCTGGTTTTCAAGGCTGCATTACAGTTAAGTGTTGTAATTTTCTGAACTTATCAGACTATTCTAGCTGTTCTATTATTTGCCTTAACCCACTTAGTCATTATATCCACATTACTGATGATTATTTATCATATATCTCATTGTGAAAGCACCAAATTCAACCCTACAATATTGTCGCAATATTGATATCGAAGTATTTGTTACAAAATATCATAAAATTGGATTTTCTCCATATCACCCAGCCCTAAAATATTTTATTATTGGATGTATTATATTGACATCTTGGCCTTAAAAATCCAAAATCAATCAGGTTTACCAGCATTTTTTCCCCACTCGAACATGGTAAAGCTTTAGTTTGCCTGTTTGAGTGTCTGTGCCCATTCAGAATGATGAATAAAAAATCAACAATAAAATCCAGATCATAAGAAGTCTGATTTTTGTATTTGATGCTAAACGTGTTTTAAATAGCTTTAACTAGCATTTTGCACCTGTGAAATCGATATTGTCAAAACTCTGATTTTCTGATGTTTTGGACAGACACTGTTTTGGACACTCAGCAGCCTAAACAGCAACATTGTGGTAGTCAGTATAGTTTATTAACAGTGCCATGCTCACTGCTGGACACGTAGTGCTCTTTAGTTACCAACAATAACCTTATGAGTAACTTTGAATGTATCTACTGATGTTCACTAAATTACAAGCTGCAGCTTCTCTTGTTGCCATCACTGAGGTTTACCTTTGTTTCCCAGCATGTAAGGCGATAGTGGATGAACTGAACCACTCAATCAGTCAGGTGGACCCAAAGAAAACCATCAACGTCGGCGGCTTTAGACTCAACCCTGATGGAACCATGAAAGACAAAAAGGTACAGTACACTGATAAAGATGCCCTCAGCTTACCACTCATCCGTCTCCTACAGCTCTTAGTTACTGTATATGTAGTTGTTGAAGTATAAGCTGAACTACTGTTTGGTTATTGGCAGTGCTGGAAGAAGTATTCATATGCTTTACTTACTTAAATACTCCATTACAAATAAAAGTCCTGCATTCAGAACCTTTCTTACATGAAAGTATTCAAGTATTATCAGCAAAGTCTGAAAAGAAAATGAGATTTTAGCGTTGCTAAAAATAATTAAATACATTATTTTGAAAACTGTTTTTCATAATGGTATTCGAGTAAATGTATTTAGTTACTTTTCACTACTGGTTATTGGTTCAGAGGGAACTAAAGCTCTGTCCTACTTGGCTAGCTTTTGTTCCACATTAACTTATGAGTCCCCCACAGCTGTGCACTGGCACAGCAACAGCACCCAATACAGGAACCCCTCAGAAAAAAACACATAGCGGAATGAGTAACTATAGATAATTCCCAAACCAATTACCAGAATAAAGGTTATTATTGTATTTTTCTGCAAATGTAATGCATACGTTACCTTAAAATACCTAGTTTTGAGTCTCGGTAAAAACAACCTCTTTTCATTGCACTACACCCAGTGGGTACACAGTGACCACATTTTGTGCCTAAAAAGCTGCTAAAAATGCAATGATGACATGCAAAAAACAACCAAATTTGTTGTTTTTGACCTTGAACAGTGGTCTACAGCTTGGCCGGTGTCTCACTGAGGTGACACACCATTCACCATCCCCTCCATGTTTCCGATTGTTTTCAGAAATGTTAATGCCAACATATTCTTTTGGTGACTGGGCTGATAATTCCTCTGTTATTATTGTCACCCATCAAAGGATTTAAAATGTGTAGAATTTATCATTACACTTGGCTGGAGAATGTGCTTAATCATTGTCTTTATCAAGTTCTAAATTAATACTCACACGGTATTTTGAAGGTCACCAGTTTAAGTTCTTTCTAGGCTACAGCTTTTTCAGCATCATATTTTTTCAGCCTTTGTGACATTTTCAGTGACCATGATATCAACAGGAAAATCCACTTGGACCTGTGTGCCTTGTGCATTATTTTTCTGTAATCACATGGCTCGTTGTCCATTAGACAACCAACTGTATTTTAGGTTGTTATCTGTCTCTTGTGAGTACGCCCACATTATGGAAGTGGAATACTAGATCACTGTACTGTGGTCAAGGGAAAATCAGTGATTTCTGTGGGTAGTGGGGAAGGTCTGTAAATTATCTTTTTTAACACTGTTTATGAAAAGAGTAATTTATTCAGCAGTAAATGTACTATTTTCTGTCTGGGATTTACATAGAAGTTTACTTAAACTACATCTCGTGTGTAACAGTATGTCATTATTGCAGTATATTATTTTTCAGTTAAAAGTATGTTGGTAATTTCAGTGTTCCTAGTCACAGTCTTTGTTTCAGTTTATATGCACACACTGGGTTTGCCTCATTCAAAATAAAGCAACATTCAAACTTTGTGCTATAATCGGTGATGTGAAGGTATCACTGCAGTCTCTTCAGAGTGGATTGATCTCTGGTTTTCTGTGTCTGTGTGTGTGTTTGAGTGGGCACAATGACACTATGGATCCAGGTTATTGTTCCTGGTCTAATGAGGTCACATCCCACTGGAACCTGGATATCCTCTATTGCCCAGGGACTAGGCTATCATGAGGTGTCCAGCTCTGCCATTGATTTTCTTGGCTTTAATCTCTGATAGCTGGACTGACTGGTGTGTGCAAGTAAGACAAGAGGGCGTAAATATCTATATTTTTAAGTCTTACGATGATATGTACAATATGTCTCTATCTGTAAAATAATCTCTGTGAACAGATATTTGCATATGTAATTAAAATCTGTAGGCTACTTGACAAGATTTTGGTATCAGAAGAGAACCATTTGTAGGCCGAGTATATTGATTAATCATGTTTGATGGGCTTTGATTGCATGCAGGTAAACAGTTCATGTGGAGAGCAGAAGAACTGAAAAGCAGTGGCTCTTGGACCCTGTAAACCTCTGAAAACGTTTTTCTGCATGTGAATGCAGATTGTTGCCTTGCTCAATTCAATCTCCATTATTGTGTCTCAAGTTGCTAATAGGGCTGTAAACAATGACTGGCTCATAGAAGAGGAAGTTCTGACCCACATATCCGTCATATGTTATCTGGATATCTGCTGGCTACACCCCAACCCCTGAAATATTGGCCGATGACCCCATTGGCTTAATCACCATCAGACCCATAGCCAATAGGTTATGAGATAAGATTATGAGAATTCTTACCAAATGTACATTTAAAGTACTTTAGAGTTACTTTAAATCTACTGGTGGGCCCCATCTCCATAACTGCTGCTATGTTAACTGCATCTACACACTCAACACAAATTGTCACGCTAATAAGCATGTTGCTATCATTGTCAGCATGCTGCTCAAACAGCTAAGCAACAATCATCCTCAGCCATCTCACTTTAGGAAGCAACAAGGCATGGATTTCTGTCATCACCAAATCATGTTAATCTGGCTAACTAGCATCTGAACCAGAGTCCTCCACTGGGTAACGAGCAAAAAGCTGTGTAACAGGTAAAAATATGTGTATATATATAAATTCATGGGTACGGACACGGATAGAAATTAACTACATGCGGGTGGGCAGCGGGTGAGAATAAAAATGTATGTTTTATTTTTCGTAATGTAACAGATGAAAAAGATGTATGGTATATGTGTAATATTTTGACATCTGAATCACTTTATCAAGCTGCAGTTCCCTTTATTTTGAAAGTCAATGACACAAGTTGAACCTTTTCTCCATTGGATTTGCTTAATGCAAGTGACTGTAGCCTGTATGGGTTTAATCATGGGCATGTTTTGGGCCACAGGACTTCTATTAGCGGGTGTGGGCAGGTACAGCTTTGACTTAGACATAATGACAGGTAATGGGTCGGTTCTGGTACTGAGCGCTGGGTATTTGCGGGTGCGGGTTTTAAAAAAATGGACCTGTGCAGGACTCAGAACTACATCCTTAAGATAATTACCATGTCACTATGCTATAGGATGTGCGCGCCTCAGACTTCACACCATGTGCACGGTTTCAGCTGAGATAGCTGCAGGTGAGATGATTTTGAGCCCATTGGCAGGTGTTTATATGTCTCTCAGTCTGTAGACTTTGGTTTTGTCCATACGATGGCATCACAGCCGTGCAAGATACGGTCACGAAACTTTACAGGTGTGTAGTTTAGATCCAAATGAAGATAAATTTCCAGGGTAGGTGTGGTGCTTTAAGTTGTGGATAGCTATATCATGGCTGGAGTGATCCCATCACAAGACGGTCTCTCGTTCTTGCTACATACATTTGAGCCTTCATCTCCCTGTCAGTGACTTAGCATTTGTCGGAACTATTCCAATATGAGCTCAATAGATTAATCATCAGTCATCTTTCTGACAGTTAACAATGATAATTGAGATATCACTGTGCTGATAGTTTACAGGTATATGTGATGAATTAGTCATATGGGTTCTAAAAATAGCCACAGCTCACATTTTGGTGCCCCCAGGAAACATTTTCTTTTGGGTTGGGTGCTACCAGCGTATTATCTAAATCTTGCGAGTGTGCTGTCAAATTGGTGAAGATGTTTTCTTAATTTTTTTGGTATTTTGTCTATCTTAATGTGTTTTCTTAATTTGCTTATTTTGAGCTCTCAGGGCCTCCATATCTTCCTCCTCTTTCAGTCAGCAAAAAAGAAAACCGCTCAGCAGTCATACAGACAGTCTGGTTCCTGCTCTGAGTCTGTTCAGCCCCATCCTCTCTCTGTGATCACCTCACTTTTTTTTCATCATAATTCCTGTATTGCATTGCTGATTAACACATTATGGTTCCATAATTGCAAAGTCATCTAACTGAATATCTAACTATCATAAACGTAACCTAAAGAAAACCTAAATCCAAAATACTGACAACTTTCTGCTGCATTATTGACTATTTTAATTTTAAGTTTTGTGATCACAGAGAGGGTTAGAGGTGACAGGAAGTGCCTCTAGAGCTCCCAGCCTCCAATCAAACCTGTCTCATTATTTTTTCCAAAAGCTCAGTTATCGCCATAATATGAACTTTTTAAGATTTGTCCTCTCTGGATAGCTGAATTTTGTGGTTAGAAAAGGAGCATAGCTGGAGGTTCAAACAGAGAGGAAGATGAGTTTTTAAACTGAGGCATGCTGGCATGAAGTGAACTCAGAGCTTCTGCAGCAAATTTTCCAGGCTTATGGCTAGATCTAGAGTTTTTTGGCAGCAGGCTCTGTGGCAGAGCAGCTAATATAAACTTTACCAGAGCTTCATTTTAAATGAATAATATGCCACTCTGGGAGAGAGTTTTGAATTGTGTTGCAAAAGCTGTTGCCAACTGTTACTCTTGGGTCTTCTGTCTTTGGCCTGAGGCTTAATTCCACTCTCAGCAGTCTACAGTTCCTTCATGTTTGCGATAATGTTTCCTTTGACATGATGTTCTTGAATCGGTGGCTCAGTTGGAGATTAAATCAATTTTTGACATCTCTCAGAAGATAAGATTGCTCTCCAAAATGTATGCTTTAGATTATGGGTACCAAAACCTGGCTTCCTTCATTTAAAAGTAATTAGTTACTTTACAATGTTACGCTCTGTGTAGAGTAATAAGTTACTTATTACACTCCTTTTGGATTACTTTGACCAAAATGACCTAAGAAGAACTAATGCTCATTTTAAATGGATGATGGTCATGTTGTTTCACAGCAGGTAATCAAAGCACAGAAGCTCCAGTTTATTACAGTTCATTTCAAATCCAGTGCTTCACAGGTCTGACCCCTTCATGCATTCATTTACAGTGGTTACCTCTTAGGATTAAAATCCCCTGCTTTTATTAATAGTAGCATGATGATATAGAACACTTAAATAGCCTAGACCTTTTAAAATAAATGAATAGCCTTGGACACA